TGTGACACCAGATGTAATTGGTGGCACTGACTGGGGAAATGGGCACTGTGAGCCTGACACAGAAGCTGGCAGCAGTGGCAGACAACTAAGTGCATTTACATTACATAGAAAAAATCCAAAAAAAGCATACCCTTATCCCTAACCTAGCTATGCTTTTCCCTATCTCATGAACAGCAGCTACACTTTCCCTCCTCTTACTAAGCATGCAGCTTGAGAATGAATCTAAAATGGATGCTGTCCAGTAGGTGGGAGGGTCTGCTAGGGAGGCTGTAGGGAGGCTGTGCTGCTAATTGGCTGGAATGTGTCTGCTGACTGTGAGGTACAGGGTCAAAGTTTACTCAATGATGACGAATAGGGGGCGGGTCGAACCGCGCATATGTTCGCCCGCCGTGGCGAACGCGAACATGCTATGTTCGCCAGGAACCGTTCGCCGGCGAACCGTTCGGTACATCACTAGTTAACAGTTGTGTTTCAAGCTAGGACAGCAACATGTAATATTAAGGCTAGGATGTCGCTAGGAAACAGGTTAACAAGTCTAGTTAAAACATTTTTAGTCTATTAATGACACTTATACTGTAGGTGCCCCTGGTGAAGTGCGCTTGCTGTGAGTAATTTGTACGAGGTTCAGATATATGCGAACGGGTTAAAACACAATAAAGATTGATCAGTAGGTTAACTCTGGTTAAGTCACTGAGGGTAACTAAATAGATGAGTAAATGCAGTCTGCTGAGATTCGGTCAAGCATAAAATTAACTTTGACATATGTATGTTAATATTACCTGGTTTGGTATCTGCAAGCTGGGTATGGCTGTAAGTCCTGAGGGGGACATGGGTACCTCGCTCGAGGGCACATGGCACTGTCAGCCAGTGCCTCGGCTCGGCAGAGCCATATCGTCCCTGTAGGGTTCCATAGTTAAGGCTTAGGACTGATTAATTTTGGATCTAATAACAATGAGGGCGTTAAGGAAACACACTTTCAAAGGAAAAGTAAAAGTCTAAACATCGGGCGGCCATTTTTAACTTTGCACCTTTTAAAAGGTGTTTGACTCGCGTGTTGCACATAAACATATTAACTGCAAACAGGTTAAACATGAATGGTTACAGACTGCCTTAGGTTATTACTGATTGTTGGATATCTAGACACCTGTGTCCATTGGAAGGGCTAGGTAGTTTGTCACAATAAGATATACAAGTTGAGATCATGTTTACAATATATCACAAGTATGTTGATTTTAAGCTGCTGCATCAGGATTAAGGAAACCAGTGTAGTGAGAATTGAGTGGTGATGTCTCTGGGAGTGGGTCTCTTGTGGGTGGCTGGCAGTAGATATAGAGCGTACAATGCTCTGGAGAAGATGGGTACAGGTGTCCCAGAGTGATATAGTCCCCGTGTTGTTCCTCTAAGTTGGGCCCTGTAGAGTCCGTAGTGGTCAAGAATAGGAGAAAGCTGTAGCCCTCGTTATCATGGGGTCAGTGTTAGCCGTCTGTGTTACTGTTGAGGTTGGTCGGGTGGTTAGTCGGGCAGCTGTGGGGTACTTTGAATAGTCCCGGCTACTTCGTATTTATTACCTTCACAGTGTCTGGCGGTGTGTCAGGTTCCCCCGGGGCGTGTGTGGTATCTCTCCTAGGAGGTGACCGCCGCGTAAGTAATCGGCGTGGAGTCTCGTGGGATGAACGGTGTGCCCAGTGATCAGGTATGGGTTGAAGGAGTATCGTTGGTTAGCTCCGCCTGGGTGAGATGTTCATGTGGAAGGCCCAGAGTCTGCAGTAAGGCCTGTGCTTCGTGCAGGTCCTGGATGATATGCGTGGTCGCTCCTTGTTTCACCGTCAGTCCCCTTGGGGAGCGCCAGCGGTACTCGATGTTGTGGGATTGGAGCACAGAGGTGATCTGTTTGAGTGACCTACGCCAGGCCAGGGTGCCTCCGGATAGGTCCAGGTAGAATGTCAGGTTCATGGTCTCAAAGCGGAGGGGGGTTCTTCCTTGTATATCTGTGCGGAGCGCTGTGACATCCTCGTGGATGTGTTTCTGCAGGTCCGCCAGCAGTGTTTTGAGGACCGCTGTGGTAACTGGCTTTGAGTCTGTCCCAGCTCCCCGTTGTTTCACCTTTTGCTTGGGGTTGGGAGTCGGTGTGTAGTCTTCCTCCATGACGTCGGATAGCTCCTCGGAGAAGTCTGAGCATCCTCCATGCAGCGCCGCCATGTTTGACTCGCCAGTGCCCCGGGCCTGACTCCACATTTCTCCTATCGTAAGTCCCGATGTGTGCTTGTGTGGGCTCATTTTTCCCCCTCCGGCCCATACGTGCATATGGCGGATTCCGTTGGTCCTGGTGTATGGCGTAGTTATTTTATGTAGTTTTTGCTTCGTTTAGGGCACGGAGCTGGTCCCTCTTGCGACCGTTCTCTTTGGTGTTCAGGCTCTGCCCCATCTCACTTTTATACCACAACCTGTACATATTGCACTAGGGATTTCTCTTTGTGCTTTATTATTGTGCCCGCACCTCCCATGCCTCACCCTCCTGTCAGTCCCTACATTGGCTTCCTATAAAATATAGAGCTCAATTTAAAATTCTGGTTCTTGCTTTCAAATCTCTACATAATGCTGCTCCCACCTATCTATCCTCCCTTATACACAAGTATGTCCCGTCTAGGCCCTTACGATCTGCTGTAGACTTACGTCTATCTTCTGTCCGTATTCCCACCTCTGATGCTCGCCTTCAAGATTTCTCGAGGGCTGCACCGTTCCTGTGGAACTCGCTTCCCTCTTCTATTAGATGCTCACCCAGTCTCCACTCCTTCAAAAAATCGTTAAAAACCCACTTCTTCATAAAAGCGTATCAATTAAACTGTTAAGAGCTCCTGACTGATTCCTCTTCTGCAACTGTCACTAGTCTAATACTATCCTTACCTTTTTGTGTCACCTTACCCCACTCCCTCTAGCATGTAAGCTCATTGAGCAGGGCCCTCAACCCCTCTGTTCCTGTGTGTCCAACTTGTCTGGTTACAACTACATGTCTGTTCGTCCACCCATTGTAAAGTGCTGCGGAATTTGATGGCGCTATATAAATAATAACATAATAATAATAATTGCTGAGCTCTAGAAGAGGAATCAAGAAGAGGGAAGGTCTGATCCGAGCCATTTATGGCTCTATTTTTTTAGTGTGTCTATTTTTTTATTCATACACTATTGAATTGTGGTTACCTACTACACCATTAGATTTTTTTTTTCTTTCCCCCCTATGTTTGTGCAAACTGCAAATTATTAATCAAACTATAGGGGTGAGTGATACTCATTAGCACTCCACTTAGGAAGCTGGTAGTGAATTTCACCCGCAGTCTACCTACCTCTTTGAATTGTTAGTACCAGTCTGTGCAACAGCAGATCAGCTGACAAACCTTCAACAACGTTTGAATCTTTCTGCATAAGGTTTTAGACAGCAGCATCAATGTTATTATTATTATTATTATTATTGCAATTTATAAAGCGCACACAGATTCCGCTGCGCTGTACAATTAGTTGAGAAACGTACAATATACACAAACAAATACAAGAGGTAAGAGAGCCCTGCCCGTAAGCTGATATCTAGCTAGATGGCCCTTGAGCTTACAATCTAAAGGATACCAGGGGGATTTGAGACAAAAGGTAGCAGGGGAAGTTTGGAGGTGATGGCAGAAAGAGTTAACAGAGAAGCAGCTATTGGTAAGATGTTAGGGGAATGAACAGGTAATTGGGTGAGAATCTCGAACAGCTGGAGAAGCATGCTATATATTTAAGGGGAGCCTGGGTGGGTGGGAAGTGGGGAGAAAAAATGCAGTCGTCACTGAGTTGATTGTGAAGTGAGGCCTGAGAGTGATGGGTGTTACTGCAGGATGGTAAATGCAGTCTTCACTGAGTTGATTGTGAAGTGAGGCCTGAGAGTGATGGGTGTTTCTGCAGGATGGTAAATGCAGTCTTCACTGAGTTGATTGTGAAGTGAGGCCTGAGAGTGATGGGTGTTTCTGCAGGATGGTAAATGCAGTCTTCACTGAGTTGATTGTGAAGTGAGGCCTGAGAGTGATGGGTGTTTCTGCAGGATGGTAAATGCAGTCTTCACTGAGTTGATTGTGAAGTGAGGTCTGAGAGTGATGGGTGTTTCTGCAGGATGGTAAATGCAGTCGTCACTGAGTTGATTGTGAAGTGAGGCCTGAGAGTGATGGGTGTTTCTGCAGGATGGTAAATGCAGTCTTCACTGAGTTGATTGTGAAGTGAGGCCTGAGAGTGTTGTTCAAAGATTTTATATATATATGTGATATATTTTTTATATACATAATGATATACTTTTTTTTTTTCTTTGTGCATCCTCTGTAGATTCAGCCTCAGACTACTCCATCCATTTTATTTTTATTTATTTTTACCTCTACACAATTTCCCCAGAACGCATTATGCACACATAAACATGCAAGGTCTATTTGGAGGACAAAATAACGCAACTATTACGTAAAATTATTACTATTTATAAAAATAAATAAATACAATTTAAAAAAATATATATATATATATTCGCTCAAATTCAGGTTCAGGCCCCGTGCAGTTTCACATGTTCCCCTTCCAATGCATCACAATTATTCTGTAAATATTAGGACTACGATTGTTATCACATGTATCTTATGGCATTGTTTATTATTATTTTGTTATTTATATAATGCCAGGAAATTTGTCTATATACTTTTCCTATTACAATACAAACACAATGGATGGAGCAATATTAGTTCTCTCCTCTTCTCCAATATATTGCTGCAGAGATAGAGAGATATACAAAATAGTGTAGACCGTTTACAATATATATTAAAGTGCAATAGGTGCAAGGAAACACTCACAAAATCAGAGCCAAGGAACCTGGCTCTGGTATAGATGGCTTCTGGATCTGTTGTGGGGTGATCCTAACCCTTCTGTAGCTGGTGTGGTCTCCAATAAGTAGAAGAGGATCCAGAGGATGGAATAATAAAAAACTACTTTATTGTAAAAATATATATATAAAATATTAATTAAAATATAGAAGAATAAAATATAAGTGATAAATGATAAGCCAATACGCGTTTCGCCAGTTGTGGCTTCCTCAGTCAGCTTTCAATAATACTGTCCAGATAATGTCCTTATATAAGTCCTCAGTAGCTTGTATTTCGCGGTAAAATCTGTTGTGGAACGCATACATGCGTTCCATGTCTCCATTTGCATCCATTTCTCCCTTCCTATTACTACCACACCCGGCCAAAATGTTTACTGTTGAATGTTTCAATGTCCAAGTACTTCGCCTGTCCCCATGATCCAGGTTGTGCTCTAAATAGTATTTCCCCACGAGCTACCCTGTAATGGATAATTCCAAGCAAAGCTCAATTTGCACAAACCATGCGAACATTGCACTTCTCACGACTGTGGAGATGATTCCCAAGGTTTCGCACATGCACACTTATCCATAGTGTTCGTTTGCCGAATATACTAAACATGCGTTGGTTATATTAACAATTGTTAATTAAAATGACCAGTCAAACTACAGTGCACTTAATAAAGTCTAAGTTCACTGAACAACTCTAGCCCCTCTTATATCTCCTCACAGATCCATAGATATGTCCCTTCTCGGTCTCTCCGCTCTGCCCGTGACCACCTCCTGTCCGTTGTCTGCACCCGTACGGCCAACTCACGCTTGCCAGACTTCTCGCAGGCGGCTCCCTTCCTATGGAATAGCCTGCCTACCACCATCAGATTCTCCCCTAGTCTTGCATCTTTTAAGAAGCCTACCCATCTCTTTAGGAAAGCTTATAGCCTCCAAGACTAACCTCTACCTCACATACCTGTCTCTTGCTCTCTCCTAAAGGGCAGCCCACCTTATTTGACTGCAAATTCCTGTCCTAATGTGTTTTACACCCCACCTCCTATAGAATGTAAGCTCGATTGAGCAGGGTCCTCTTCAATCTATTGTTCCCGTAAGTTTTTTGTAATTGTCCTATTTATAGTTAAATCCCCCACTCATAATATTGTAAAGCGCTACGGAATCTGTTGGCGCTATATAAATGGCAATAATAATAATAATAATAATGTGTTTGCCTATCGAACGCATATATATATATATATATATATATATATATATATATACTTTGAAACAGCATAGACCAAGTTGCTTAGGATGCTGGGTATCTATTGGTGGCAGTGGGGCACCTATACTGCTCACTCGCAAACGCAGGATGTTTATTCTAAACATACCAGGTTGGAGGACAATACAACACAATTGTTACTTAAAATCATTATTACAATTTTAACGGTTTACAAAAAAATAAAAACAGTTGCACTCCAAATTAGGTTTGAACCCCATGCGGCTTGACAAGTCTCCCTTCCAATATTTAACTAGTGTCGTGGAGATTCTATCATGTGAGTAATGTATGATTACATCCATACAACATTGTATCTTTTACGGAATTGCTTATACAAGAAATAGAAATGTTTCTCGTTAAAGTTCATATTCATAGTAACTAGATTTACAACTTATTCGGATTTACTGTAGGAGCACTAACGCTCCTCCTTGGTCAATGACTAGAGGTCGAGGAACTTTACATTGGCTTTTGCTATGGCCAACCTCACTTCTCCCTATTAGAGAAGATCTATGTATATACGTTAGTTTTTGTCTTTACTTTCCTACTTTGTACCTAACCATCAACACCCCACTCTTATGCTTACCCTCAAACACTGCGTTAACGTTCAACAAACCACCTCACCTGCAGATGAATATAACACTGCACTTATCGAATATATTAAGTGAAAAAATTAAGGTCATAAGCACCTCAACAATATGGTTTCATGGCCAATTCATTAAAAATGTAAAAGGGTTAAATAGCCCCCACAAATGCCAGCTGGCATTAAAGATATGCACGCTTTAGAGGCTGCTATCGTATGTCTCCAAGAAACGCATTTATGCATAAAAAAACCTTCACAAATTAAATCTAAGAAATACCCAGTCGCATATCTCACATACTCCCCTAATAAAACTAGACGGGTTTCTGTCTTTTTCCATACAGATTGGCCCTTCAATCTACAAAAACAATACTCAGATCAAACGGGCAGGTTGCTAATTTTGATAGGAGAAGTAAATGGCATACAACTTACCATAGCATCCTTGTACTCTCCTAACACATCTCAATATTCCTTTTTATGTAAAGCGTTTAAGAAAATTGCATCAATTAAACAAGGAACTCCTATAATTTGCTCCGTCAGAAGGGTCACACCTGGCAGCCCCGATCATGAGC